ATTTATTTATTTATTTATTTATTACCTCCGCCAAGGAGGTTATGTTTTCGCTGGCGTTTGTCTGTTTGTTTGTCTGCAAAATAACTCAAAAAGTTGTGAAAGGATTTTGATGAAAATTTCAGGAAAGGTTGATAATGGGACAAGGAACAGATGATAAAATTTTGGTGGTGATCAGTTGAAGCAAAGTGGATAAAATAATAAAATGGCGGGAAATCCCAGCTGCTTGGCAGAGGTCTGCGCTCTCCAAGTGCTTTTCTAGTTTATTTATTTATTCATCAGTTTATTGATTTATGTGTATTTCTAATGATAAAAAGATATACAAAAATTTCAAATCAATAGCAGCACATAAAGATTAAATTTAAGTGCTACAAGGACATTGACAGTGTACACCGAAACACTCTCTGGAAGAGAGTGCAATGTCACCATGGGTAATACCCTTTCTGAGTGGTTTCCCGTTTAGTTTGGAGCGGGACAGGAGTGGATCATCTCTCCTACCCTCTTCCCTCTAACCATGGACTACATCACAACCAACACTACTGCAGTCAAACCCAGAAGCACCCAGTGGACCCTATTCTCCCAGTTGGAAGATCTCGACTTCGCCAACAATCTAGCTCTCCTTTCAACCAACCACCCCAACATGCAGGCTAAAAAAGACAGGTTCAACAACCTTGCCAGACAGGTTGGACTCAACATCAACACCTCTAAAACAAAAATGATATGTATAAACACCACCCCCACAGCACCCAATCTTGTGAATGGGGAACCATTTGAGTCTGTAGAGGACTGGGCAGCCTCATCAGTAAGGACGGAGGGACCAAAAAGACATTAAGGCAAGGCTGGGAAAAGCTCATGTTGCCTTCTCCTAACTCTGGTCGGTCTGGAGATCCAAGCAATATACAGTAGCCTAAAACCAAGATGCTCTTGTATAACAGCAATGTCAAGTCTCTCCACTGTACAGTTTGGAGAATTGGCACATGGTCAAAACAGACATGATGAGAATGGAAGTCTTTCACAATGGATGCCTCAGACGAATATGCCAGCCAACCTTCAACTGTGCAAGAAAACAGGTAGCCGGAGCATCACCAAGTAAATCACATCTGAAATGGCTAGGTCAAGTGCTGAGATGGATGGAACAGGGCTGGATCATGAGAGTCGCCTTACGGTGGACACCACCAGGCAAAAGACAACCTAGGAGGCCCAAAACCACCTGGTGGAGAACCGTGACACTGGAGGTGGAGGAGTCATGAACATTTCATGGGGAGAGGTACAACATGCTGCCAAGGACAGAAGTAAAGGAAAAGGACAGCAAGTAAACAAGTAAGCTACAAATACATATGAAGAACATAAAATGGGAGAAAGTTTTATTTCTCTCCATGGTACCAAAGTTAATACAGTTCCTCTTGAGGCTGCAGAGAGGGAAGTTTGTCCCAAAGCTTGCTGCTGTATTTATTCCCTACATCTTAATGAAGATTGCTTCACTCAACTGTGAAGGTGACTACAGACGGAGATGGATTCCACCACAGAATAAGAGTGGGTAGGGTCCAGTTTTGGAAAGGCCCTTTGACTTGCCAAACACGGGTGTAACTAACAGTACTAATGCTGTATTGCAGCCATGGAGCCGTAGCCATTTTAGCTTTCAAAGACGTGCTTGACAGAAACAAAATACTGGGAACCAAAGGAATCCCACTTCCTAAGAACACTGAGCTGTGCAGTGACTTTGGAATAGTGGCCACAGTCAGAGGTGCAGGTCATGTGACATGCTGGGGACAAAAAAAAAGAAAGAAAGAAAAAAAAGACTGTGCATTCGTGTCGGTGAAGATTCTCAGTCATCCAGGTCATGGTAATCGTAAGTGCTATATCGTAGGCAACTGGACTGGAAATTGCATCTGCAGTTCTCTTTATTGTTATTCTTATAGTTTGTAATATTTATGATTATTTTGTTCACTTAAACAATTAATATTCCCATTTTTACTGTTCGACTGGTCACTGGTTACTTGAATGCGCTGTCATCCGCCACTGCGATTCACGTTAAACAGCTGTAAATGAGCTGTCAAGATGTCATCTGTGGGTCAGTTGATGTAATGTCTGCTGCGCAGAGGACTGTGGGTCAGAATAGTCAGAAAATCATGCAGGCTTGCACACTGCAAATCCAACAGGATGTAGTAGAACATCCACCACAGAAGCCTGAGGAGCTTTTTCAGTATATCTGTCTGGTGAGTAACTATTAGTGAAATGAATGGGGAGCCATTTGGAGAGAAGGAAACAAACAGCAGGTATTAAAGGGAGCCTGACTTGGTATGAACTCCATCCCTATGCTGTCTTAAAGCTTGTGTGTCCTGGTTTGCTTGTAATTTAATTATAATTGCCTTATATTATCAGAATAACTTTTTCATGTTAACAGATCAATACTGTATATACTGTATATTTATACTTTTTCAGATAAATTATACTCTACTTGAGGTACAGTATTTGTATATGGAATCTTTTATGTTGTGTTACTAGGGCAACAGCTTTGGTAGCCTATCTGTTACTTCTAGGGTTAGGGGTTAGGGTTATTCCTGTCAGCTACTGGGTTAAAAACATTCTGACAGAAAACACATTTAGAGTGTTGAAACAGTCTATAGCTGTAAATGGAATGTACACGTGATAAAGTAATGACACTTGCTCTGGAATGAAACTCATATCAGGATGTTCCAAAAGTCCATCCATCAGGCTGTAAACTGCTGTAATAACACACACACACACACACACACACACACACACACACACACACACACACACACACGGCACAGGGGAAATGACATTGTGCTAACACATATATAGTCACCCTTGGAAATCTTTGCGTCTTCAGTACTGCAGCAGGAGGGGGTGAGTACAGCAACCCGTCTTGTCCTCACAAAGGCATTGTTATAGAATGGAAACCTTTCTGTTTAGTGTTTAAATGTCCCTTGCTGTCCTGTCTAATTTATGACGTGTCCTGAATAATGTGCAGGATCACTGAGGCAGTAAATGCTGAGATATGTTTTGATGTGGCTCAAAGATGAGGAGAAGGGAGAACCTGTTGGTAGGTGCAGTGACAGGGGGAAGTGCTGCCTAAGTCACATTATTTCTCTAAATTTAGTAATGAATAACATCTTCAATTCGGCATTAAATTTCCTCAAAATATTGACTGTTTAGTCACATGAGATTGAGTAGTGTGTTATATTGTAACTAAGACTTACAGTATGCATCTCTGATAGCACTGTTAGATGAAGTGAATATAAGTGTATGTTAACTGTGAAGTGGAGTGTAGATGCATGCAACGGTATGCTGACTGATGATTTGATGTAAAATAACAGCAACATTTTGCCACATTTAACTTCAAACAATGTTTAAAAAAGTGGTGTGAACTTTTTAAGGTCACTTTTTACCACATTTACAGCAATATTTGAAATATGTTAAATATAATGTCACAGTTAAATCTAAATATCAAATGTTAAACCTAAATGTTAAATCTAAATCTAAATGTTAAATCTGAATCTAAATGTTCAATGTTAAATGTAAATGTGCTTGGGGAAACGAAATATTTAGCTAATATGCAAATGCTCACTGCTGTTTGCCGGAAGTACCAAAATAAAAGCCCAGGTGGTCAGACTGTGTTTATAGCATCAAAGAACAAATTAAAACCAAACTAACTGGAGAAAATGAACACTTGAACATACATCATGTAATAATAACTACCTAAAATGACAGAAATTTTATTTGACCTGTACTTTGAGTTTGGTTTTACTTAGTTATTTGATGCTATAAACACAGTCTGACCATCCGGGCTTTTATTTTGGTACTTTCGGCGACCGGCAGTGTGCATTTGAATATTAGCTAAATATTTAGTTTCCCCAAGAACATTTAGATTTAACATTTAACATTTAGATTTAGATTTAACAATTAGATTTGGGGCGTTGGTGGCTGAGTGGTAGAGCAGGCAGCATGTATAAGGCTGTTGCTGCAGCGGCCCGGGTTCGAGTCCAGCCTGTGGCCCTTTGCTGCATGTCATCCCCTCTCTCTTACACACTTAACTGTCCTGTCCATTAAAGGAAAAAAAGAAGGGTTTGGCTTTGCAATCTTCCAGGAAGCAAACGCCGGCCTCCCGGGTGAAAGTTGGTGGTTGTTGGACCCATCCACCACCACTCCTGCCCTCCCTACTTGGACTTTTGCTCCCTTAACTTATGTCGTTTTGCTGGTAACACATAGTTGCAGCTCTGAATGGATAGAACTCTCAGGAAGATTTTATTTGACATCTGTCCTAACACCTCCCAACACTGTGTCTCTAACAAACAGTATTATATTTGGTGGTATGACTCTGTTCTCTGACCTCTCCGCCTTTCCTTGGGCCTACTCAGAAAGCCAAAGGTGCAGAGAAGACACCTACACTTCCACAGGCATGCAAGGAAAGCCTGAGGCAGAGATAGCATGCCTCCCTGCTTTTCCATGTACCTATAAGGAAAGTCTAACACAGGGAGAGCAGCAGCAAAGACCCCCGGGAGCAGAGCACAGCATCACTGACAGAAATGACATGATATGTCAGACACAACAAGAAAAGGAGGAGCTGGGGTGGAAGCAGGTTGCAAAGCCGCTTGCAGTGGAAGCAGCAACAGTAGGCAGGCCAGAGCAGTTTAAATAAGGCACCCTGAATGAGATTTGCCAATTGGTTGCATAAAAGGACTCATTAGATCTATCAGCTGACTATCTTGCTTTAATCAGGCGTTCCATCAGTTGAATGGGCTGCTTGAGATCAGCTCATGTAGCTTGGATGTGGCCCTGCTGCTGTTGCCACCTGATCCAAAAATTTTGACTTCTTGATGATTAAGGTGTGTTGGTGTCTTCTCCTTAGTGTTGTATTGTGTCAAAATGTACATTTTGAAAATGATCTGAACTTAATTTGGCTGCAAAGTATGATACATCAGATAACTGAATTAGGGCAGCTCACAGATTCAAGAGGAACAATACAACCCTCCATGTGTTACAAACGTAAAGCATGAGGTTTCAAAGACATGATAGAGACCAACTTTGAGGTCTAATGAAAATATGGTGGAGACCTTTAGCAAGAAGAAAGCTGCTCAATGGTTTATCCTTGGTAGATTTGTTAGAAAGTGTAATGATGGCAGTCTGGATACATATTGTCAGATACAGAGAAACAGTTAAGGTCATGTTGAATTCATTCTTTGGAGGAATGTGTGATGTCTCTTTCATTTCAGACTTTCTGGACACCGTGTAGCGGCTGATACCTTATCTCGTAGATGTCTCCCATGGGCTTGTGTTTTCTTCTTTTTATCTCTGTCTTGGTGTGTTACTGGGTGCCAGCAGGCTGCTATGCCAATGGCAAGGTCAGTGAAGTGTGTGGCAGCATGGAGCCCCATCATCGTGTCCCTGGTCAAACCACTCAAAGCCCCTATCACTTAGGGACCAACACCACCACATTCAGTCCCAGAGATCACATCCAAGGTGACTAACAACTACAAATTTGTTGAAATGTTCAAACCCAACACTACCAATGCATGTACATATTTCCATGAACCCAGTGCTGTGATAAAGCCTCTAATGTGAAAAATATACTGTGCTCATTTTTATCCTATCTTTCAGGAAATCTACCCTGAAACAGAATCCATACAAAGTTACTCCTATTAGTAAAACAGTTTACTATATGCTTTTAAATATGCAGTACTTCAAGAGGAGGAAACCAGTCAGCATAGTCTTTTGTAATTGTATCAAATGAGGGAAGAAATGTAAATAAAACTTTGACCAAACAAATAAATTTTGAGGCTGCACTAAAGATTAAACCTGGTCCAAATACAGGTCCTAGAACAAGTTTAGTAAGATATTAGTTTATAACCAAATGAATAGAAAGTATTGATAACATTAACATCATTTTTCTTTTGGTTTTTAACTTTGAATCACTCTTTTCCAGTAACCCTGTCTGGAACATATTTTGAGGGCTTTCTGCTTCAGGCCAGAGATGCAGCCAGTCAGGGCTCAGTAACCACAGCTGGCACCTTCACCCTGACCAATCTGAAAAAGACACAGCTGCTCACCTGTAACGAGCAAAAGGTATGCATACATGCACAGGCACATAGTAGTAATCAAGACGAGCCAACAGAGAATCAACAGAGTAAAAAAGTAATAGATCACAAAACCCAGAAACAAGGATAACACACTCAGATTATTCAGCAAGCTGTAAAATATATGAAAATACAATTACAAAATCTGTGTGTGTGTGTGTGTGTGCGCGTGCGTGCGTGTGCGTGTGCGTGTGCGTGTGCGTGTCCAGGGTTCAGCAGTGAGCCATACGAGTGATGCCAGACAGACAGAGGTTGTTGTCATCTGGAATGCTCCTGCAGATGCTCCCACGCAGGTTCAGTTTTTGTGAGTTTATTTCTTTCTAAATCCTTATTTAAAGCAAGCTCATGCTTAACAGATGCCACCCTGGTCAGAAGTATGCCTAATGATTACAGTTTTCTTTGCAAAAGATCACTACAAAAGATCAAGATGTTGTTTAAGCGATACAGCTAGGTAGCTTGTCTGCCAAGCAATAGCAGTTCTGGACGGGGGCAAGGAGGAGCTGCCGCTCCCATAATATTGAGCCTGGACCACTGCCTAGCCCCCCTAGCTGCGGCAAATAATTTCTTAAATTTTTCAACCCACATTTGTCCCCAGAGAGGGAGAATTATAATTATTTGTGGGAATTGATAAATCAAATGTACTGTAAAACAGTTAAACACTGAGTCCCTTTTAATAGCTAAGTATGGCTACACGTGTTAACAAATCAACACCAATCTCAATAAGATGCTGGGTCTAGTTGCTGTTAACAGTGCAAAGCAGTTCATTTTTGTACAAGGTCTTTGGATATGAGAATCAAAATCAAAATGGGTTTTCATAAAAATTAATCCAAATTGTGACTGTGGCTTTAACAGGATAAAGTGGTGTGTTCTGGTATGCCGAGTGCTGTAACACCCTCTTTGTGTCATTTTAGTTCCGTTCAGTTTAGCTCAATTCAGTTCAATTCAATTCAATTCAATTCAGTCCAACAGGCTTTATTGGCATGACATTTAACATGAGTTGCCAAAGCACAAATACAGTTTAAAGGTAGTGAATAACATTTACAACTGATTACACAAATGACAACAGTCAACACAGCAAAATAGGTATTTATTTATTTATTTTTATTTTTTTCCAAATTTCTTTATTCAGTTTCTGCAGACAGTACAGAAAAGTACATCAGCTTCATATCACATCAGAGTGTCTGAATTAGAGTGAAAGAAAACCCCAACATGAATCCCACAATCCCTCCTGACAACCCGTGTCAGATGTGGTCACAGTAAACAACTAAATTGTTACATAGCAACATACAATTTGTAAACAATTAGAGTAAGACAAAATAGAGTAAAATATTAGAATGGTAAAGAAGAAAAAAATAATAAATAAGTAAATAAATAAAAATAAATAAGTCAGCCACTTCTTTTAAGAAGTGTCCTCGGCATCATCAGGAATAGCAGGGGGTCCCAGGTTTTATGGAACGATGTCAAAGATCCCTTCTGTGAGAACCTTAACTTCTCTAACTGTAGACATCATAAAATTTCACGTATCCTGCTGGAAATGTGGGAACTGCTTTTGAATAAAGTGTCTCATTTGAAGGTACTAAAAAAGTGGCTATTGGGGAAGCTGTATTTGTCTGACAAAGATGCAAAGGATGAGAAAACACCTTCGTCATATAGGTCATAAAGTGTTCTGAGACCCTTATCTGACCATACGCGAAAAGTTGGGTTGGAGCAGGAAGGGAGGAATACATGATTATTCAAGACTGGAGCAAGAATCGAAGCCCTATGTAAGCCGTGTTGCTTCCTGAATTGAATCCAAACTTTAATTGTATTGGTGACGACCGGGTTAGGTGAGACCTTATGGGCAGCTGTGAGCAAATCATAGAATGCAGAGAACAGGAAGAAGATGATATCTCAGTATGAGCCCAGGGTGGACAAGCGCCTGTACCTTCACCACTGAGCCAGTATAGAAGTTTATTAGGTCCCAGGCCCAAAAGTAGTGGCGAAAATTTGGCAATGCTAGTCCCCCTTCAGGTTTAGAAAGTTGAAGAATATGTTTCTTAATACGGGCTGGTTTATTATGCCAAATGAAAGCGTTAAGTTGTTGGTCGAGATTAACAAAAAAGGATGCTTCAAGACAAACTGGAATGTGCTGGAAAAGATACAGAAATTTCGGAAGAATAACCATCTTAATAAGATTAACTCGGCCTGCAACGGACAGGGGGAGGGCAGCCCATCTGGACAAGTCTGACTGGCATTTATCTAATAACGGCTGAAAATTCTTCAGAAAAAGATCCCTGAAGGAGCTGGTAATAAACACCCCCAAATATCTGAATCCCCCTTTACATATTTTAAAAGGGAATATGGATTGTGGAAGTGACCTCGCCAAATTGTCTGTATCTATGGGTATATTTTCCAGTGTGACTGTAGTTGCCCACTACAATGTATTTTGGGTGAAGCTGCCTGGACCAGTCATCTATCAGCATGGTGTTACTCCCCAACCCCCTCAGTCAGACACTACACCTCCTCCAGTACAGCCCACAACCACACCCTCCATCCTGCCTGGGCCTGTGAGTGTTGTGACATTTTATTATTGATGATTATTAATTGTGACATCAATTTCCTGTCTGAACATAGAGTAATCAATTGACTTTAATATAAAATGAGTGTGACAGATTAAGACTAATAATCTTATTTTACATCTTTAGTTTACTTCTGAGGGATGTGGCCAATCAAAATCATGCCTGCTAGATCCTCCAGGCTGTGATCCAACAGATCCTCACTGCTTCTTCCTGTCCATGACTACAGAGGAACCAGACAAAATGGTTTGACTATTAAAGAAATACTTCACCTGCAAAATGAGTATTTGTATATCAGTTAATCACTGTGTGATATGTTGAATTCATGCTTTCACAGTGAACAGAGAATCCAAAAAAGGCAAACATTCTTCATGAATTGAAGTGAGCGGGGGCCACGTTTAACAACAGCAAAAATATATCACAACATCTGTTAATAAACTCTCACACAACTCATGCAGTGCAGTCAAAGTCTTATTTATCCAGTCGTATGCTCAGTACTTCCCAAACACACGCATTTTTGCTAAAACATTACTACTTCTGTCTACAAATAGCACACCTTGAGCAGACGCAGCATTTGAGCTCCACTTGAGCAGACCTCAAACATGTGCACAAGCACATGTTTGAGGTCTGCTCAAACATGTGCACAAGCACGCTACTCAGCTGTAAAAGAGACTGTTTTTACTGATCACAAGGGTAGCCAGAAAAAAACACTGCAGGTGTGCAACAAAAAAAAAAACTGCGTGTACTGCATCTTATTATCTCTACAACACATAATGGACTAGACTGATGTGCACCTCAGTCTAAAGTCTACAGTCTACAGTTTATGTCCCAGATGTGCCAATCACTGGCACCCTTCTAGGCCTGTAATGTAGCGTATAATGACATGCCAAGACACAACAACCTTTGGGGGATGTTTTTTCTGGTGGCGCATTGGTGGAAGTGGAGCAGTGTGGATCAATGAAAATTGAAAACAACAAATAGTTTATTTCAGGTGGTAACACATTACGTGACACTATAAATGTAATAATATTACCCGAAATCCTGTTGGTAACACATTATATTACTTGTTACTGCTAAAACGTAATACATTACTGTAACGTGTTACATTTGTAACTTACTTTTGTCATCTGCAACCATGCTGAGATGCATATTCCAAATGAGCTGTCTACTTGCCCAAAGAATGCTCCCAAAACCTGAATATTAAATTAGCATATCCCACGTCTTAATCAGAAAACGCTTCACTTGGAATAAGACCTAACTCAGAATATGCTGTTTACATGAGTTGTATCAAATTCTATGTGTATGGTCATATTTAGAATAATTGTGGAATTTTAGTGTGCATGTGAACATCTGTCTCCAGGTTGCTTTTGCCAGTTAATCTGCTAGACTGCTTACAGCACAATGTCAGAAGATTTTTATTTTGTCAGTCACATAAAATTTGCCATAGTAAAACTAGCAAGGTGAAGGATGAGCTTTCACTCTCATTCCTCTGTGGTCTCATTGAAATCCTTCTGTAATCTCAGGCACACCCACTCTTTGAACACTAAATATTTAGAGAATACAGCGATGTCAAATAATTAATGAAGAAAAAATATGTATGTTCCTCTTACTGTTCTATTGTTCCTGAACACTGTTGATAGTTACATCAAAACTATCTGAAATTATAGAAATTACGCATTAACATTAATGTCACCAACTGAATCTTCATCACTTTTCTCTGCAGGCTGTGATATTTGAACTGAGTGGCCCAGCAGAGGGATATGTTGCCTTTGCACTGTCCTGGGACACATGGATGGTAAGCTAGTCCCTCAGTGTGACACAACATTCTTCATCAAATATAGACCCAGTTGATCTTCATCAAAAAAAGATCTGCAGCTGTGATGAAGAATTTCACCATAGTGTGCTGCATGAGTCCTGAGACAAACAACTTTCTGTTCTGATTCATTTACCAGCATGTTGTACCTACAGTATATTAACCTGAAAATGACAGCATATACATTTTGAAGTCTGTGTTTATGTACATGTGTATGTGTATGTGTATGTGTGCCCAGGGCAATGACGATGTGTACATGTGTATAAATGATGGGGGAGGAATATCAGTGAGTGCTGCCTTAGTCAGTGGACGAACACACCCTGAGGACGAGTCACAGGTGAGAAATGAAAACACTTCTCTACATAAATCGAATGGGCGGAATGGGAGCCTTGGACATTAAACAGTACAGTAGATGTTATTGACAGTGAAAGAGAAAACACTAATAATGTTAATAATAATAATGACTAATGTTCACTGCACGTATGCTGTAAAGTCTCATTTCAACCTCTCCTTACTTTCCTTATTTTTCTTGAAACTCTTTTTTAAAATTTTACTATGGTATTCTATTTTACAACTTTGTTCATGAAAATATTGAATTGACTATTGAGTACAAAGACATGGTGTGCTTGCAGACATACAGTTTCTTTTTTGAATGTGTTTTAAAGGTGTAGTTTGAAATGTTCTTATTTTCTCCCAGCACCGGGCTGGGTACCTGTGGGTAATCCACAAAAAGCTGTGTAATGGGTAAAAATATGTATATACTATATAAATTCACGGGTACAGGCACAGGTAAAAATGAACTACACACAGGCAGGCAGCCGATGAGAACAAAAATATATTTTTAATTTTCTAGAATAAAATCAATGAAAAAGATGTGTAGTATATGTGCAATATTTTGGCATCTACCCTATTATCAAGCTGCAATTCCTTTTATTTTGTAAGTCAATGACACAAGTGGAACCTTTGACCCTGTCATCACATTTGTCACAGATGTGGAGAACTGCAACAATGAAACATTGCAGCCCGAGGATGAGTTGGCAGAACATTGAGTTCAAGACACCTAAAGAGGATATGGTGGTGGAGGGAGCATGCTGAAATGTTTTCTAACCTGGCAGTGATTGAATGTTTTCACCATCCCAGCATCAAGCACAGCCAGTGAAAGAGACCTTTTCTCTGCTAGATTAATAATTCAATAATGGAGAACCTAGATTCATGTGAATGACTGTAGCCTGTGTGTGTTTAATCACGGGTGTAGGTCAGGTTGCAGGACTTGAATTAACGGGTTTGAGCAGGTGCAGCTGTGACTTAGACATATGACAGGTAACAGGTCAGTTCTGGGCGGATATGGGCAGGTGGGGGTTTTCAAAAATGGATCCATGCAGGACTCTGATTGATATTGATCTCATGTCTGAGTGTTAACTAGGAAGCTGGAGTCAAGGTGTGGTTAGCTTAGCTTAGCATCAAGACTGAAAACAGCCAGTCTGGCTCTGTCCAAAGTTAAAAAATACACATATTACCACATCTTAAACTCACTAATTAAGTAGTATATTTCTTGTTAGTTTAGTCTGTACATGAATAGAAATGTGAAAGGGCTTGCAGCTAAATGGAGCGATTCCTGTCAAAAAACAGCCATAACCAGTGATACTACACAGGCCAGCTAATTCCCCCATTCTTCATGTTAAACTAGGCTAACCACATCAAGAGTCCAACTCAACACCGAAGGCACAGACAGAAGATTGATATCCAACTTCTTACAAAGAAAGCTAATTACCGAATTCCCCAAATCTCCCTTCCTGAAATTGAATTCAGTCGTAGAGACGCCTCTGTACAGCGTGGACCATTTTTCTAATGCTTTTGTGTGTAAGTGACTGATGGAGTCAAAATTTTTTGAAATTGATGTTGAGAGAGATGAAACAGGCTGCAATCTACAGGCAACTGAGCACCATCATTTTACATGCACTACAAGTTTGTTTTTGCCTCTTACAGGCTCAGATCACCATTGTTCAAGTGTCTGACAACATAACAGAAAGGAACCTACAGAGAAATGAAATGTTTCTCTCTTACCTTTCGTCTGTTAGTGTGTGTAATCAAGTCTCACTCACAGAGAAGTCTTGTTCTATAATCTCGGTGACTTTTTCCACATTGTAGAAATCAGTCATGACATTGACAATATTTTAGACAATGCTAAGTAGGGGTAGGCGACATGGCCCTAAAGTAATAACACAATATTTCAAGGAATTTTTGGGATAACAATATTCTTGACAATATAACAAATTAGTATAAAAAATATTTTATCATTAATTTAAGAACATAGAATTGCAACAAAATAAGTGATATAATATTACATGTAAGCGTAACAGTTTGCCTTCAAATATTCAGTATATTCATTTCTTTAGGTTGTAAACAGTAACTCAGAGTGAGATTCAGATTCTATATACAATATTAGTAGTTCAACAACATTAAGTTTTTTGTGTGTGTATGATTGAGTTGTATTTTTTTCCACGTTGACGTTTATGCTCTGCCATTACTCCTCTAATCATCACGCTGTAACCTGTGAGAGTAGATTTAGGGGGAAAGCTTGTTGTTCCTCAGGAAATAGTCTGTACCAGGCAGAGGCCTGACTTAGTGTTGTGGTCAGTGAGTCAACAGATAGTTTATTTCATTGAGCTGACAGTTCCTTGGGAAGACTCAGTGGAAGAAGCCTAAGAAAGAAAAAAGCTTAGATATGCAGACTTAGGAGCAGAAGCTGAGCAGCGAGGGTGGAAGACTAGGATTTGTCCAGTGGAAGTGGAGTGTAGGGGATTCATAGCAAGATCAACTGTCTCACTCCTGGGGGAACTCGGAGTGCGGGGACAGAATTTGAAGAAGACAGTGAGGGAAATGTCAGATGAAGCAATTAAATGCAGCCAGTTTATCTATTACAGAAGAAATAATGTCAGCTGGGGGCCAGCAGGGGGAACTACTAAGCAGGGCACATAACTCCTTGAGATCAGGTGGAGAGATCCACTTCCTGTCAGGAGAAATCCAGGAAGAGGAAGTATTTAACTGTGGGAGTGGCCTATTGGAATCCATTTTGTTTGAGGCCATGCGGCAAGGTGAGTGTGCTTGCTGATCCTGTAAGTCCAGTTAGCTCCTTTAACTTTAGCTTATATTGTAGTTATGCTATGTAGTGTGTGAAATAGAGTATGGTGAATATGACAGGAAAGCTAGTATCAGCATTGCTTCTGCCTGGAGCTCGCATGTATGGAGCCTGGGTTTGGTTGAAGATGGCAGTGCTGTTTGGGCTGAGAAAGCCATGTGTAAGTAAGAAGGAAATCCAGGAAGAGGAAGGTTATTTAAGTGTGGGAATGGCCTATTTGAATCCATTTTGTTTGAGACCATGCTGCAAAGTGAGTGTGTTTGCTGATCCTGTGAGTTCATTTATCTCCTTTAACTTTAGCTTACATTGTAGTTATGCTATTAGCGTGTGAAATAGAGTATGGTGAATGTGCTAGTAAAGGTAATATCAGCATTGCTTCTGCCTGGAGCTCGCATAAACGTAGCCTGGGCTTGGTTGAAGGTGGCAGTGCTGTTTGGGCTGAGATCACTGTCCAGCCTCCTGGAGGTGTCATTGTTGTGAGGACTCGTCCTGGGGAGGTAGACTGTACAGCCTAACCCAGCGGGGGAGTGTGATAGCCTAACAAGGCTTCCTTCCCTGGGTCTACCTCCTCTGTGGTAGTATAGGTAAGGTAAAGGAGGTTGTTCGGTTAGTGTGGGGAGCAGTGAGACCTGGCATTAGGGGAGTGTCTCTGGGACGCCAGAGATCACTGTCTAGCCTCCTGGAGATGTCGTGGGACTAACTAGACGAAACACCGGTGAAAGGAGGTTCCCACCTGATGACCCCAAAGACATGTTAGTTATCACTGCTCACGGGTCTGTATAGTTAAACCTTGCCATAATAGCTTATCGTAGGGCTTAGGAGGATTATTCACTGAGTGCTGATGCCTTTTTTTTTTTTTTTTTTTTTATTAGAGCACAAACTTCTTGTGTTTATTTGAATGAATGTGACAGGCTGTTATGCTACCATAACTACTGCACAGTCACATATGTAGTTTTTTGTTGAGGCGCAAGCGGCATCAAAGGTTTATGACAACATCATTCGACAACACCGAAATTCTGCATGTGCATCGCAAGAGTGGAGAAGGAGAGACGCAGTGCTGCTGCCAGAGGAGCCACTGAATGAGTTCCCTCTGAGCAGAAAGTTGCAAAAAGAGTCTGAGAAGTCCAGGGCTGTTCATAAAATATTCAGGACGCCACAGTTTATTCCACACTACTGAAGCTGCTCCTCTTTTTGGAACCACCGCAGAGTCACTAATAATTTCGCTTTCAGCCATGCTTGTTGGGGCAGTGCGTAACAGTATGATGTCAATAGGCCAACAAGTTAAAATATTGTGAGAATCACAATATGAATTTCCTGTAACAAGTCACCTCTTGTAAGATTTTAGAATGAGACCTCTCTTTGTGGGAGACTTTGTAACACACTCACACAAACAGACCAGTGAAAGTCACGGAAAATTGTTTCATTTCTCTAGAGGATCCTTTCCGCAATGTTGTCAGACACTTCGAATAAGAATTTGAGCCTGTCAGTGGCAAAAACAAACACTTTTAGACGGTGCACAATTGCCCATAGGGATTACATTGCAGTGTTTTGCTGCTGCCAGCTGCAGCGCTCTCTCTAAATACTGGACAAATTTCAAAAATTGTTGCCTCCATTAGTCACGTTGACACAAAAATATGAAAAAATAGGACTGAGCCTTAAAACACATAGAAGTTTCACTTTAAACCCTAAATGTTCTGTGTGTATGTGTGTGTGTGTGTGTGTGTGTGTGTGTGTGTGTGTGTGTGTGTGTGTGTGTGTGTATTTGCAGTCTGGTCTCTCCTCAGTGTCATGGCGGCTGGCAGATGGAGTGATTCAGTGCAGGTTTAGTAGACCAGTCAAACTGAGTAATCAGGAACCAGCACGCTTTGATCTGAATCAAGAGTACTTTCTGTTTGTAGCCAGCGGACGTGCTCAGCATGGTAAGAGAATATACACACACGCATGTCAATTTGGAAACAGAACCCATTGACCTTGACAGTTCTCCTGTGTCTTGGAGGCTAATTTAAGTTCTTATCAATCTGCCAGAGCCTTATCATATCACATGGAAGTTGGTTGGAATGGTATCAGTTTTATTTGGGGAGCAGGATGTCATTAGCAGGAAATGATGAACACATACAGTAAAGCAAAGGCCTATTCACTGTTGGCTTTTTCTAACACTCTGGTTAATGGTTAAGTGGCCTTTCAAGATTGAAGTGATTTATGATTGCACAACACAACACAAACAATTTCTCATTCTTTGCTAACTTGCACTGTTGCTTTCCTCCAAAGAGAGCATGTTATGAAGATGCTGCAGTTTGAGTTGTTTGAGTTGACTTGTGTGTCCCATATTTAAAACACATTTAACGGATAAGAATTCATTTTCTGGCTGTTTGTTTAAAGGTTGTGGAGGTACCGTAAGCTTTATATGATCTTCACAGGTCTGGGATTTCTAGAATGACTATTAAACAATAACATTGCAAACTTTGATGTCCCACTGGTTTGAATGCACCAGGGGTAACATTAGTAGAATTAAATTACTGACTTATACAGTAATTACTAAAACTGAAACAAGCACCATTCTTGTGTCTCTCCTCCAGGTGAAGTATGGAAACATAGCCAGCAGCCATTAATCTCCACCCACAGAAAACACATCACTGGACCCCCAGAGGTCCTGAGAGGCTCCCGGGGCCCCACCATTATGAAAATGCATGGTTTGTTGAGTGCTCACGTTTAGGTCACTGACAGTGTCTGGTGCAGCCACATAAGCCGAGGGACATGTTATCTAGGCTTAACAACAGGGGTGCAACAATACATGTATTCACACTGAACCACTGAGTACGAGGCTTTTGGTGCGGTACACGTCACAAACCCAACGATATGTTGAACTATCCTATTACATTTGTAAACTAAAACTATAGCTTAAATTGTGTTTAATATAGCACACAGGATGGAACAGGAAACATGCTGTCTGCCCTTACCACCCCCAAACCAGAACATTCTACACCAGTGAGACACATTGGAGGGCAGCTACGCTAAGCTAGCTCATTGTAAGATGGTTAGTAACACCATTACCACACCCGAAATAGAAGATCCTCCAACAACCCACAGGCTTGGTGTTTAGTACCACTTTGGTTTTGCTGTGAATTATGAGAGAGAGAGAGAGAGAGAGAGAGAGAGAGAGAGAGAGAGAGAGAGAGAGAGAGAGAGAGAGAGAGAGAGAGAGAGAGAGAGAGAGAGAGAGAGAGAGAGAGAGAGAGAGAGAGA